TTTTGATATTTGCAACCATAGTAAAACAAAGACTTATATTTTTTATATTTATTTTATATATTTAAATGCCATTTAACAAAGAAAAATCAACCAAAAAAATGAGTTCACATGTCACCTCTGACACGTGTGTCATAGGTTCGCCATCACTGCCCTAGGCTCTCCCTGTTGTTTCTTCTGCCCTAAGTTCTCCCTTTGTTTAACTGACCCCAGCACTAATAAACATACTTGCAAACTCACCTGGACTCGTGTTGCAAAATCTTTCCTGCACACAGTCAAGGACCCACACACTACAGTCTGGTCTGAGGCAGACTGCTCCAAGCTGGCCCTGTCCCTTCCTCAACATTCCCCATCACACAGTAGATAAGAAATCGGTCTAAACCTTGCAGAAAACTCTAAAGCCTTGATCATTTTTCTTTGAAACGGAAACTATGTTTTCTGGAAAGGCATCCATTTATGTCTAGGTGCAGCTCATATTGCAAGTCTGTTGGAAAATAAACAGACTTACATCTGTCCCACACTTTATATCAGAGTTGCGTTTTTCTTTAAAATGGCCTGAAGACTGGGGAAAAAGAAATTAGGGTTGTTCTCAATTCTGTGACCGGATCCAGATATGGGTTGGGTTTCAGAAACCACTGGGGAATTAGTTGGGTTTCAGAAACCACTGGGGGAAAGAAGATGTGCCTCAAGAGAGCTACAGGAAGCAAACAACTCCCGATTAACTAGCCCTGTCACGGAAGGGCCTGTGGAACGCTAACAGGCTAATCAATTCCAGAGGGACAGTGCCATGCCCTGAGACAAAGCCTCAGAGGAGCAAGAAGGTGGACTCTCAGAAATCTAGAATCAGAGGTGGCCAGGCTGCTCTAGTTGAGGACAGCGGATTGTCTGGACATTAATACTCTTTTGTCCAGAGAGAAACCTGAGCAACCTGATGAACAAAGTTAATGCAAACCACTTTCACAGCCATACTGTCCCCGGGTCAGCCCTCATTTCCAGCAATGACTTAGCAAGAAAGAATTGTATTATTTAAGGGAATAGCAAATATGTTAACAGAGGTGTGGAAATGAAAATAAATGGCCCTTCTTGTGGCTGAGTAGTATTACATTGTGTATATGTACTACATCTTCTTTATCCATCCTCTATTGCAGGGCACTTTGGTTGTTTCCATGTCTTGGCCATCGTGAATAATGCTGCAGTGAACATAGGGGTGCACATATCTTTGCGTATAAATGATTTTGGGTTTTTCAGGTATATACCCAGGAGTGCAGTTGCTGGATCATATGGTAGCTCTATTCTTAATTTTTTGAGGAATCACCAGACTGCTTTCCATGGTGGTTGTACCAGTCTACATTCCCACCAGCAGTGAATGAGGGTTCCTTTTCCTCCACACCCTCTTTAACACTTGTTGTTGCTTGTCTTGTTGATAGTGGCCACTCTAACTGGTGCAAGGTGGTATCTCATTATAGTTCTAATTTGCATTTCCCTGATTACCAGTGAGGTTGAACATCTTTTCAAATATCTATTGGCTGTTTATATGTCTTCTTTGGAGAGGTGTATTTTCAGGTCCTCTGCCCACTTTTTAATTGGATTATTTATTTTTTTGGTGTTGAGTTTTACTAATTCTTTATATATTTTGGAAATTAACACTTTGTGGGAGCTACTGTTTGCAACTATCATCTCCCATCTGGTTGGCTGCCTGTTTGTTTTGTTGTCCGTTTCTTTTGCTGTGCAAAAGCTCTTCATTTTAATATAGTTCCATTCATGTATTTTTGCCTTTAACTCCCTGTCATTTACAACAACATGGATGGGCCTTGAGAACATTATGCTAAGTGAAATGAGTCAGACAGGAAAAGCTAAGAACCATATGATTTCACTCATATGTGAGATATAAAACTGAAACTTATGAGCACAAACAGCAGTTTAGTGGTTGCCAGAGGGAGGGGGACTAGGGGAAGAAGGAGGTCCTAATATGAGGTGAGAGGAGAAGATTTGACTTTGGGAAGTGGGCACATGGTGTTATATACAGATTTTGTAACTTAGATAAAATAAAAATAAAATAAAATAAAATAAAATAAAATAAAACCGTAACTGGCCATGTGCATGGGTCGGAGTCAAGTTAAGGAAACAGGGCCCATACCAGGTGGCTCACTGAGGGATTACATTCCAGGTCCAGGTTCAATAGTGATGGAAACGCAGTGAAACTGAACAGGGACAGGAAGGTGCCCCCCTCTCATTGCCCCCTGCAAGATCAGCAGCATTAGGGGAGCCGATCACTGGGGTTGGAGGACAGGGAGGAGACTGCGTAACCTCTGCTAAGCAGCAGGTCTATGTGGGATATGGGGGACGGATGGGACAGTCTCACTTCTCCCACCAGCCCCCACCCCCACCCCCAACCCCAGGGCAAAGCTAGACTGAAGCCGAAGAGGAGTTCCTATAGCTTGTGTTTGCTGTGGACACCGGACATGCCGGCAGAGGGGGGCAGGGCAGGTGGATCTAAAAGCCACCAGCAGGTGAATGGTGCACCACTAGGAGGCTGAGTGTCTGAAAAGCCAGAATTCTTTGT